CCCCAAAACCCCAAAACCCCAAAACCCCAAAACCCCTCAATTTTGTATTCTCCTTGAAAAACCAATTACTTAATAATACTTGATCTTCCTCCCGCTTCTTAGCTTAGTCAAGGAGTTTCTCAATGGGGATCCCGGGCTGAGGATGGCCAATGGAGAATGCTTCTTCTTTGTCTTCAGGGAATCGCGAAAGATCTTTGACCTGACACTTTTGTGATGGACTTTTTGAGAGTACCCAAAGATCGACAAGTTCTCATCACCAAACTTCTGATCATATTTCTACGTAGATTAGGGGCTAAACTGACCTTAGATGGCATCAGAGGGCTCTTTTGACCTCTTTTATGGTCAGAATGGATAAAACTGCCCATAGGACTTGAATGATTTGTACTGGATTTTCCTCCAATGTAGGAGTCTTTAGGTGAGAAGTAACCTTACCAATACATTCTTTGAATGGATTTTTCGGAACGGAATAGTTGAGTTTTAGTGTGGGCTCTAATTGAATGGTTGGCATAATAAGCCAAAGACATTAAGGAACAATATCAATGAGTTTAAAGTCAGTTTAAATTGATGAAGGGAGATTTATAGACTGATAAAATTAATTACTCGATTTCTAACACTTGAATAAAGACATGCTGAAGAATGGAAGATATTGAAAAACGGTGTTTGTAAAATTTACTTCTGACTAGGCTTTCATTCTCATTGCAGTAAGGAGACATGATCTGGCTATCTGCTGATGCTAGTTTGATTTCTTTACTACGATCAGGTTCATCTTCTGGATATCCTTCTCTTGTACCACTCTCATTTAACTCGATTAATGACATTTTTCCTTGTAAAATTTTAAGAGGAGCATTGGCATAATTCTTCACCGGGCTATTTGGATCTATCTGCTCCAGAATGAGTGGATATCTGCCACAGAATATGCAGCGGACACCTCCTCCAGAACTTTTGGAACGGATGTCATCCTTCAATGTATGGTATCAATCCCTTCAGAAATAATTCTTTCAGCATTTAGATCTCAAAATGTTTGAAAAGAATTTAAAACAAATCGGGCAGCTAAATCTGTAATAATTCTCATCAAATTTCTCAGGAGTGTGATCAATCTCTGAGAAAGTCGATAATGATGGTGTTTTCTGCATAGAACTTAGTACCTTCTCATTAGAATCTTTATAAGGTGTGGTCTTACTTAGCCTAAACACTGACTCTCATTCCTTACCTTGGCCTAAAACTATCATACTCCTTAGGTTGATTTTCAATGAGCTTTTCACACTTATACAAGTCCAGCTTAAATTCCTTCTTTTTCTTCTCTCTCTGCTTCCTTATAATCGGGAATGAGCTTTTCGCCACAGCCATTGGATGGGGTAGTACCACCTCATCTCTAGTTTTCTCTCCTCTATCTACACATAAGAACTTCTAAATCCGCTTACTCCTCTTCTGTGATCAGTCGAGACATTTGAGGATCCAATCTCCGCAATTTTTCATATTAAATAACCCTTTAACAAATTTCAAAATTTTAAATTACTAAAGGGGTTTTGGGGTTTTGGGGTTTTGGGGTTTTGGGG